CTAAAAGAAAAACCAAAAACTATGGGAAAAGAGACCATCTAATCAAAGTCAAAGCCACAAAGTGAAGGGACCAGAGACCTGACAGCATAGAGCAGGCCCAAGAGAAGTAGAAGTAGAAGAAAAAAAGCTCTTTCCTCCTAAATCTCACTCCAAGTAGTCTCCTCCTCCTCCTCCATCTATCCCCTCTCCGTGGCCCTGTCTTAGGTGAAGCCTTCTCATATCCAAGCCCGCCCCACACATCACATACATCTTTTCTTTTCTTTTTTAAGTAGGCTCTATGCCCAATGTGGGGCTCAAACTCATGACCCCGAGATCAAGAGTCACGTGCTCCACCAACTGAGCCAGCCAGGTGCCCCGCATATACCTTTTATACCTCCCTGACTGGACGCAGAATGCTTCCTTCACTGGTCTTCAAAACCCAGTTCAAATGGACCTTTTCTGTGAAGCTTCTCCAACTTTCCTCCAACTTTCTCAGGCAGAGTTAGTAGTCCCTCTTCTGTATTTTCAGAACATGTTGTTCTAAAAATTATCCTACTGTTAAACTGCAAGGTCTTGTTTCCTCTATTAGTCTATGGGCAACTCTAGTAGAGGATTCAATAGTTAGGATGAAAACCCTTACTAACAAGCATTTCACAAAACTGTAAAGTCCTTTACAAGTAAGAAATTTTATACACCTTATAAAACACAAGTAGGAAGCTAAAAGCCTTGCTGTTTAAAGGATTTCTATAGTGAATCTTTTGAACAAGAGTACAGGCACCCTACCCCTAGTTTCTCCCCATACCATCAAGGACCTTTTCTTAAAGTTTTATTTTTGTAATGCTTTAAATTTCTGTTGAATGGCAAAAATATAAAACAGAAGGCAAACTGCATCAGGAATAGTGTGTAGCAGTCAAAGATGGAAATTCCTCTCTAAAATAAAAATAAAAGCACCTTAAACTCTCAAAGGCAGAACATTATAAACTAAAGAAAATATGTGTACAAGAACTGGAGGACACAAAATCAGCAAGCTCATAATGCTTTCATGGGAAACTGTCAATGTCAACAATACCCAAAGATAAATAAGTAAAACATGACTTTGTAACGAAAGATGTAAAAGTAGGTGTGGTGTTAAAAGGACAGAATAGCAGGATGAACAGAGTTGCTGGGAATTAGTGGGAAGATGAGTGATTTAAGAAGTTGTTTGGGGAGGAGAGTTCCAATATAGATTTTGTTAGAAAGGTCATGAACTGGTAAAAAAGCATACAAGGCTTGGCTAGCAATACAGTGGGATGGTAGTGCAGTCACCAAGTACCACTGCAGCTCCCTGCAACAAATTCTCTCCATGTCTAGCCCTCCCCACTGTGGTGAATCAGACTTATTAACAAGAATGACTTTACAGTACTTCCCCAAGATGAGAAACACTGCTATACAGATGAGTAATTGTCCCAAACCTCTAAGAAATAAGAGGTTCCACTCACATTTGCCAAACACGCAGAGATCCAAGTGTGCCAAGTGCTACTGACAAATCCAAAGGAAAAAGCACAGGTTGTGTATGTGTGTGTGTGTGTGTCTGTCTGTCTGTCTGGGCATGCTTAGAAGGAATATTCAACAAGTCTAACTAATGGAATGTATCTGAAAAAAATTAACGAAAGAAAGGGATTTTTAGACATCATCAAAATAGCTTTTCCATAAACTTTCTCAAAAGGGTCAATTTTTAAATGAAGGCTTTTTGTTTCAGCAGATGGTGATTAATTCCTCCCTTCCAACTAAGCCCAACATCTCTACTAATAGTAGACTGACTTATTGCCTTCCAGATAAGCAGTTTTTAGCAATGCACTCATTTATTTAGGAAGTTCAGAAGCACTAAAAGGTGACAGGCACAGAGTGAGGGACTGGGGATATAAAAATAAAGAGGCAGACTCTGACCTCAAGTTGCTCACCAGGTAGATGACATAAATGGGTAAATACTATACTGTGGTACAAGTGCTAATAAAGATAAACTGAGAGGTCATTAAACTATGAAAAAGAAAACTGAATAGAGATTTGAGAGGTGGTTCTAAGCAGCTGGAAGTATCAGCATATTCAAAGTACAAGAGCTTGAGAATACAATAACTGACACCTTCCCAATATCCCACTATGAGATAGAAAACATCATTAATCTCTCCCATTACAAATTAATAAACTGAATTACCCACAGTCACCCAGCCAAATAGTAGGCTAACTAGAACTAGAAACAAGATTACAGGCCACATGATGCTTTTCCGTTCTAAGAGGTCAATATATTCTCCTTTCTCAACTGTCATTCTTGCACTTAAAACCCAGTTCAAGTCAACCAAACTGGAGAAATAACTGCATAGAAACAAAGAAAAAGCTACCCATGAAAAAATTAAGTATTTGCCTATGTAATATTTTTAGGGTTTTAGCATCTCCACTTCAGTGGGCACTTAGCATCACTTCACATTTTCCAAGGAATGGGAGGGGTAGCAACCTGTATCTTTTGGGATCTTGTTTGAAAAAGTATCCTACCCTATTTAGGTCATTCTACAAACATCTCAGGCAATGGCACCACCGGTATGGCTTCCAAATTAACTGCACGATACATATAAGAACTCAGAGGGTTAAGTATTTACTCATTTGACTAACATGTCTTCAAACAGCTGCAAACAGTTTTGTTAGGAGTGATACACTAGATGCACTTTCAGACCTCAATAGGACCATACCCTTGACTATATTAAGGTTCTTAGGTGTAATATCTTAAAAAGCCAAAACTTTTCAATCAGAATGCATCTCTAAAATAAATAGGACTTAATATTCCAACATTTGCTTTAAAACATCTTTTCAGGGGCGCCTGGGTGGCTCAGTGGGTTAAGAATCTGACTCTTGATCTCTGCTCAGGTCCTGATGTCAGGGTCATGTGTTCTAGCCCCATGTTGGGCTCCACACTGGATGTGGAGCCTACTTTAAAAAAGTAAAAAAATAAAGCTGCTTTTTTTTTTTTTTTCCAGGAAAACATCTATTAGCAAATGAAATAAAAATATAGAGTACAATGCTGCCCTGTGCTCTTATTCTAAAAATTCTTCAGGGCAAGATATAATGTACATTCTGCAAATGCTCAAATTACTACCTGAAGTGCATGTTTACATATTCTGCAATATCTTTACATCTAAGTAATTAAAACCCAGTGACTGATGTCTTAGGACAGGGGTTGATAAACAAACTACAACCTTCAACCACAGCCAATTCTTGTAAATAAATTTTATTAGAATACAGCCCCAAACATGTTATCTATGGTTGTTTTCATGCTACAATTTGCAGAGCTGAGACAGAGACTACATGGCCCACAAAGCTAAATATTTACTATTTGACCGTGAACAGAAAAATTCCTGTCAACCTCTATCTTAAAATCATCAGACTAATGACCTGACAAATTATGTCTAGCCTAAGAGTTTATCTACCCTGGAAGATGAACTACGGAATACAATGAAAGAGAATTTTTCTCCCAAACATCCAAGCCAAAACCCACAGGGAAACAAACCTCTGCTGATTAATTCCAAGTCATATAATTGTCAATCCTGACTACAAACTATACTTTAAAAGCAACTGGTGGATTTAGTTTAACTCTTTTTGAAAACTGTGCTACATTAATAAACATACAAACTCATTGTACCTTCACAGTCACTTGTATTGTTAACCACCACCATGGAACTCTAAAAAGTTATTCTTTCAGTCCTTAAACTGGCATCCAAGAATCCACACAGAGTGAACTAATAAACCAACTACGATATAGTCTAAGACTATATCATGACAGAGAATGGAATGGTAAGTGGAACATCCAAAATCTCTCCTTCTGGATGTATTTAGCCTCTTCTATGCTTACTAGTCTAAAAATTCCAAAGCTGGTATATAAGTCATATAAAAGAATTACACCCAAGTAAGTCTTGGATCTATTTGCCATTCTCATTTTATTTTTTAAAGTAAGCCCTAGGTCCAGTGAGGTGCTTGAACTCACGACCAGAGATCAAGAGTTGTATACTCTACCAACTGAGCTAGCCAGGCGCCTCTCTCTTTGCCATTCTTAAGAAAAATCAATAAATAATAAACTAATACTTTTATTTGCTGTAAAAGTTATATTTAAGAACTGAAGTCTATAAAAAATCAGGAATTATATTTATACATATCATTCTTAACAGAACTGAGTCAAGCACGTCAAAACAATACAGAAATCGACAAATCATTTATTTACCAATTATTATTTTTCTCCGGTTAACAAAATAGGAGATAATGCAAATTCCTAACTAAATACAGTCAACTCCTGAATGGCCTCTGCATGATACCCTAAATGCTTAACCAAAGTGCATCAACAAACAGCCTGGTACCCTTGACAATATCAGTGCAGTCACAGTTTGCAAGGTGATGTTAACATAAAGCTAAATCAAGCATTTAATAAGGCTGACAGGATGCCAAAATAATTAGAAAACAAAGTAAAATAACTGATTTTCTAATTACTCATACCATTTCCCCCTTCATCTTTGGTGTTTTCCCAGCTATTTTGGATGAAAAGAAAATGGGAAAAAAATATTTAAAAGTACAATCAGTGACAACCAGTTTACCACAGATTACCAAATTTACATAAAAATCTTATTTTCTGCTTTTTAAGAAGAAATGTCAGATTTTGATCCTATTCCTCACCTGCAGAATATTCACAAGACAAAGTCCTAAAGAACCTTCAAATCTATAATTTTCTCAAGGCTCACTTTTCTTATGAACTTGATTCACGTGAGCTACAAATTTATGTAAACAGGAGGAGCAAATTACTACTAGGACTAGGGCTAGAAAGTGCGAGGGCGATCTTTAGAAGGTACCCTGATGAAAAAATGGAAACCCCACCCAGCTCTTAACTTTCTCGGCTTTTTCTAGTCCTGGTTTTCTGTGCAAAATCCAGAAAAGCACAACTTCCTCCTCACTGCCTCCCTCTATGTGAGGCCTTGTGCCGAAATTCAGACCGCTAGCTATCCAAGTACCTTCTTAAGGTAGTCTTAAGGCTCAAGCCCGCTCAGAAACAGCAAAGGTTTGTTTTCTTGGGTTAGAGGAGAGCAATTACAGGGTTTGGCGGCCGTGTTTGTCAGGAAGGGTAGGGCCGAGAAAGAGGGAGAATCCAGAGATTGAGCTCCATCTAGTCCCAGGAACCACCCCCAGGGGCGGCTAGACTGCCCTCGGTACTTCCCTGCCTCCTTTGCTCGGGAGGGGAGAGCGATGGGTCGGGGTCTGGCTCCCCTGAGCTACTTCCTGGTCCGATCGGACTCGCCTTCGGACACCCGAAACGCCCCCGGCCCGGCTCCCTCGCCCTTTGCCCTGTCTCCTCCCCTCTCTGTGACCCACCACCACCGGTCCCCTCCCATCTAACATGGCCGCCCCACCCGGCCCACCCCCGGTACAGCCTAAGCCATTGGGGGGCCCGCGGCACCGCCTCCCCCACGTCCATTGGCGCAGCAGCCTCCATCCGCCTATCCCATTGGGCGGCACGGCCTGCCACTCCGCGCTGAGGGCTCCGCCTACGAGCCGCTTCAAGCTGCTTTGAGAAGACATATAAACAAATCCCGGAGGGAGGCCCCTCTCGCCCGTCTCTGGGGCGGAGACGGGAAGGGGGAGCGGCTACCCCAGAGACACCCCTGCTTGGATCCCCCCCCCACCCCCAGCCAGCGCTTCCTCGTCTCCAGCCTGCCCGGTTCCAACCTTCGTGGCCCCGGCCCTTCCTCACACGCCCCTCTCTCTCCTCCCCCGCCAGCCTCGCCTCCCCTCCCTTCCCCGGCCCCTCCCACCCGCTAGCTTCTCTGACAGGCCGGTTGCCGGCAGCCACTGCCCCGGGCTCCGAAGCAGCAGTGAAGGGCCGGACGGCCTGGCAGGGCAAACGCCTGGCGTTGCCCACCCCTGGCCTAGCCTGCCGCCCACCCGTGGGTCCCCTCTACAGCCGCCCCGCGCTTTTATATAACCGTCCCGGGCCGGGGGTGGGGGAGGGGAGCCGGAGACCCCGTGACCGGCAGGCGGCAACCTGAGGCCCGCGCGCCCCCAGACTCGGCCCTGGTCCCGGCCGCCCCGCGCCGGCCCGGCTCAGAGCCCCGGCGCTGCTGCCTCGTAGGCCAGCGGCCCTCCTCCGCCCCCCGCCCGGCTAGTCCCCCAGCCCAGGCCCCTGCGGGCTCCAGGCGGAGAGCAGCGGAGCTCACCTGTAGGTGTGAGGGCGGCTCAGGGGCTGGGTCCGGTTCCGCTGCAGGGGCCGCGGCCCCTCTCCATGCTGCTTCGGTTTGTTTTGTTTATGTCCTTCCTGACGGGTTCCCGGAAATCGCGTGACTCGCCCCCCTCACGTGGGCCGCGGCGAGGAGGAGGAGGGAGGCGGGGGCCCGCCGGCCTCCGGCCAATCGGGAGGTGTTCTGCAACCCGGCCAATCAGAAGCTCGTCCCGGCTGGGCACCCCTGTCACATGACGTCGGAGGGGCGGATTGCCGGGAAAAACCAGGAAGAGGGGGCGGAGCGGGGGCTCGGCGCCTGCCACTGCAACGTGGGCGTGGGCCGTCTTTGATACAGAGCCACACTCACGTTTGTAGAGGCGGTTCGTTTACAAAAGCTTTCCCAGCCAGCGTTTTATCTGATCTCACAACTACACGGTGAGGGCCGAAGTGTCCCTATATCCATTTATATTTACGTTTATGGCCATTTGCATTTACATCCTAACTTCAGTGAAACTCGAAGGGGGCCACGGGAACCGAGGGCATTGACTTAAGAGAGGGATTGTATCAACTTTCTGTTTTATGTATGTCCTCCACATCTGAACCTCTTAATTCGCTGACACTGACCTTGCCTTCAGTCACTCGTTCATTCAACTAGTATTTATTGCGTACGTAAGCCCCAGACATGGGGATCAGTCAGATTGCGTGCACCTTTAAGAGAAATACCTGTACACAACTATACAAACAGAATGCTACTAGAAGCGCCTAGACAAACAAACCGTCATAACACATGTACCCGAGGTTTCCCTGTGTTCCCTAATCCTATTAATAACAACTGCGACCCTTTGCTACGGAACGTGTACTATGTGGTGGGCTCATCATCTTATTTAGTTAATCCTACAGGTACACGCAATGGTAGTGTAGTATACCGATTTTTGCAGACGGGGAAATTAAGGCTCATAGGGATTACTCGCTCAAGGTCAGGCAGCTAGTAAATGAACCAGCAGGGCCCGGAACCCAGGTCTGTTGCCACAGCCTGTGCTCCCAGACTGCTCTTTATACTTAAGGGCACAGAATTTACCTTCTGAGCACAGAACAGAAATATGACTTTAGTAAGCATAGAGAAAGGAGGATTGGAGAACAGAAATTTCTCTTAGGAGTTATCGCCTTAGAAATCGTGGCTCTCCTTTGCACAGACCTAGGGAAGTAGTATAATGTTAATGTCAAAACCATGGACTTTGGAATCAGACAGACTTCTAAAGATAATAAGCTTCAAGAAGGCAGGGATTAGCCCTGCTGTTGCTCCTCTACCTTTCATGCCTGCCACATAGGCAGTCATTAAATACTGGTTGAATAACAGCCTGGATTTGAATCTTTGCTCTACCACGTGTTAACCAGCACAAATTACTTAACTTCTGTGAGGCTCCTCTGTAAGTACCTCATGGGGTTGATGTGAGAATTGAGTGGAAAAATTCATATAAAGCACTTACCACAGCGTGTCACATATAGTGAGCATTTAATGAATGATAGTATTATTAGATTGTTTCAAAGACATCATTTAGAAGATGTACTGTAAGCTAAATAGCAAGTAAGGATAATTCTAGACTTTAGCAGTTTAACAGCCACTAAAATAATACTTTTGTAAACAGTATTAATAGGTGGGTATACATAGATACCTAAGGGGAAAGTAAAGTAAATCTCACCTCTGCATCCTTCAAAATGCCTTAGGGTCTCAGTACCCAGTGAAGGAGTATTTTCCCTACTGCACAGGAAGCAGCAGGATTATCATTATTATTTTTTTAAGTCTAACATACCACATTCTAATTTTCCATATCGACTGGAGTTTGAAACACCAAAAGAAAAACTGGCTTGGGAAGTTTGAGCCAGTTTCCTCTTACTAGTTCATATTCGATTCCTGCATTAAATCCCCGTGAATACGTTACAGACTATCCTTTCTTGTAATACTATGTTTGGGAAAACTCCAGCAGATGGCTAGCTCTTCCACTGTTCCACTGCCCTTTTGATGGTCATTTTCATACTTCTGCTGGGCAACAATCTGATTGGGTCAAGGAGAAGCCTGATTCTTCTAGCACATGGCTCTGCCATTGAAGCAGCTCACTAGTGAGTTATGTTGGATTCCCGCCTTTGCATCTTCCCTTGTCTCAGAAAGGACAGTTTTAGCTAATGGAGACCTTTCCATCACGGTTTGTTAATGACCATACCCTGCACTGAAGTGAATGAAATCACTGCTAATTGATTTGTGTTTCTCTGGGTTTTATCCTGCCAGATTGTACCATAATCAAAATTGGCAGGAAATTGGGACTCTGGAATAGCACTGGCTTGAGGTTCAGGAGTCTCTTCTTGTTCTAGCCACAAAGTAGTAACCAGCTGCCATCACCTCTTCCAAAGTGCTTAACCTTGCTTCTGCAGAATCAAAAGCCTGAATCAAAAAATGTGTTACACAAACATGACACAATGGGGGAAACAAAGCAATAGTTAGGACTCCATTGAACTCATAAAAATAAATTATTTATTTTCTGATTAGGTAACATATACATAGCACAAAATTCAAAAGGTACAAAAGGATATTCAGTGAATATTAAATCTCCCTCCCACCCCTGTTCCCTGTCTACTCATTTCCCCTCTTAGAAGCAACCACAAGTACCCATGCTCTGTGTATCCTCCCAGCGATACTTTCTGATATGCTGACATTTCATGCACTTTAAACCTTGATGTATTTGAAACGCTGTTCTTGGACCCAAGACTTCAATTTGAGCTCTACTTCCTATGAGATCCAGGTTGAAGGGTGGGACCTCTCTGGGTTTCACTTTCTTCACCATGAGGAATCTGGAATAGAACTGGCTGTTCTTTCCAACCTTCTAACTTTTAACATTGAGTTCTCCTGAAAATAATTAAAAGAGTTGCCACAGGTCCTAACCTTCCTTACGACCTAACGTTTGCAGTTCTTCATTAGAGCACAGACTGAGCCCTGCCTGCTGATTATGTACACATCTAAATGAGTGTTATCCTTTTGAGTCTAAGTGTTTTCTTTCCGCGCCCCTGTGGACTTGTGTGATACCCTAACATTGCACAGCTTCAGAAGTGAGATTAATTAACTCAAAGCTGGAAGATCTCCAGGAAAAGCTGTGTCCTTCTCACACTTTTAAAAACTGATTTTCTTCCTGAGGAGACTAGAGCATTGCTGAGTGTGACTCTAAAAGATACTGATGGTTGGCAATTGGCAGCCATCCCTCATTCACCTCTCCTAAAAAATATTCTCTGGGGGAAGAAGAGTTCAGTTTTTCCCTTGCTTTAACCTCTCAACAGGACGGAGTATTCTTTATGTAACAGCTCTGAGCTTTGGTATCTTACTTCTCCCGGAAAGCACTAAGTTCAGTCCCAAGGCTCTTCTCTGGTCTATCTGTTATTTATTTACCCTGATTCCTCACTCCCCATTTACAGAACTAGGCCTGCCATGAGGTAGGAACTTAATAACCACCGTGGTCCAAATCCTACTCATCCTCCATGACTCAAGATCCCACATCTTTTATGAAGTCTATTTCTATCATGTCTATTACTGCCTTCATTAATATCCTTTCCTCTACCACCCAACTGAGCACTTAAAGTACTTATTGCTTTGTACCATTCATATCATGTGTGTTATTATATCCTCAATTAAATCAAGTGGTATAACACTCATATCCTTGAATTATGGAGAATGCAAGGCATGTCGTTAGGCAGCATAATCAAGCCTGTGTTTAGTGATGGGTAGGGGAAGAGAAGAGAGAGAAATAAGCTGACATCTGTGGAGTGTCTAATGTGTACATGAAGACATAGTCCTCACCCTGGAGGAATTCAGAACCTGAAGGAGAGTGACATGGAAAGCTTACAATACAACAACAGAGTTTGTAAGAGGGGAGGCCCTGTTGCAGGGGTTAACAACATGATACCTACGTGTTTCTGGGCCACTTTCTTGCTAACTCATTTGGGCAAGATACTGACGGTTCTTGATTTCTGTCATGCATCAGGTTGATCTTGAACATCAAATGCAGAACCTGATGCATATTAGTGCTCAACAGTGTTGGTTTCCTCCCTCGCT